CTTCAGTTTCTAGTTTTAAAAAGGACTGATTTCAGCTTAGATTTAGCAGAAAGGGTAAGAGTTATAAACTCCAAAGTCTGGATTTGYAGATTCAAAGCACAGATAGGAACATTCTAAAACACAAAGTAGAGAAAAAAAATGAGGTTTCAAGCACACTGTGTCTTCATTTACCAACTAGTAATTTAGGTATAACCTTTCTTATTATGCTGTTCTTATTTACTTTTTATCTTGCTTCCTTGCRTATGTTATATACGGAGCATAAGAATTATATTTAGATATTACGATCTCTACTAGGGATTAGGGGCTAGAATTCAGATGCTGCAAAAAAAGTGATACACAAGTATGCATGTCCACTTTGTGCAGCTGCTCATGAATATACCAGAAATGGTTGCWCTGAAGTGGACTGTGACTTATTAACAATGCAACCTGCAAGCACTGGACAAAACAGGTCTTCTCTACGTCTTTTCGAACAACCGCTGCTTCTCAGGCTTGCTGTCTCTCTCCTGCGTTCACCATTCCTTTGGTTGATCAGATGAACACAACCAGAGCACCATTCAACATGAAATAGGATTTCAGGATTGAATCCTGAGTTGTCACAATCTGGGAATTTACTTACATATATAAACCAGTTACTTCCCATTTTTTGAGGATAAAAATCCTGGCAATATTGACTTATCACATGAATAAAAAATGCAAAGTCAAATTCTTTCTATGTAAGCATGCAGGCATACTATTAACATATATGCAATAAAAACACAATTATCACAACCCTATCCTTAAAATTTAACTTTCAAACTTGTCTTTCTAAGCTGCATGAGACAGACCTACTTTCTTTAAAAAAATGATACAACTGGCATAGGAATTTTTTCAACATGTTAGAAAAATCTGAGCCAAAGATGATATCACAAAGCCCCTTATGCCTATAGGAAAATGTTAAATCAATTACGAATTGCTAGAATACTGAAAGAAGTATTTTCCGTATAAGTTTCTTAAAAAAGAAAAAAAAAAAAAAAGAGCTCTTCATGTTCTTCTGAAAGTTGTATTATGCAATGAGAAAGCTGTAACATTCTCATTTCTTTAACGTAAATATGTTATAAAAGCTTTATTAGCATACACTTTAGAAATTAAAATCAAAGAAGAGTAGTCACTAGCCAGCACTTTGAAGAGTATATGTGTATTTATAAAGAGTATGCCTTAGAAGGTTAATGCACTATTGTGAACTCAAGAATTGCAATAGGACTTAGCTTTGACAYAGACCGTTCACACCCTATGTAATAAATTCTTTTAACATACTTCATATTTCTTCCCATGTGAACGAATGTCCTTGGAAGAATTATCTACCAGATAAAATTTGAAGATGAAATCTAAGTCTAGACTCAGTAAAGAGGGGGTGGAGACTGATCTTATAATCTGTGACAGTTTTTGATTAATGAGCTGCTCATGATTACTGTAGGCCTGTCCAAACTGCAGAAGAAAGTGATACTATAGGACTGGAAAGAATGTGCTATCTGGCATGCTGCACCTTTGCTGAAACTTGGAGCTCACATTGACTTCTGCTACGTTTTTTCTGGCCTTGAACTACCCTATACGACTGATGAGACACACAGCATACATACATGCATCTCCTCGCGACATGACTGCCATTTCTGCAATGGATTTCCTGTGTTACAGGATGCATACATAGCAAGTAATGCTACCTGCAACAAATATAACATGTTCTTTAGTGAGGTCAAGGCTTTTGCTGGTATCAGTTGAAGGGCTCTTGCACAAAGATTTAAAACTTCCTGGACTACAATTGCACTATCACATCCTGAAGGGGTGTGATCTTGTTTGATAGCGTGAACAATTCTACAAATATCTCTATGCATAGACACATACTTACGTGCACAGGCAGATGTCTATATATACATATATATGTACATTACAATGGATAATGAGTGCATTGTATAAACATAGTACACTCTGTAAAGCTAATAAAAACATTCAATTCTGTTCCAAAGTTGAAACTGAGCGTGATCTTGGTCATGTACTGAATAAAACAGGTGTCTTGGCAGCAAGTCTTTGGCGATAACCTGGTCATTTCTTAGCAGTTTAAAAACTTCTCAGAGAACACATTCAAAACTCCCCTAATTACAGTTATAAAACATATAGCGCTCTTACAAGTGAAAACCCAGGCAAGTTCTTAAAAGTGCTCTCTGCATCCTGTAATCTGAGTTGCTGACTTGGACAACACAAAAAACAACAGAAAAAAAAAGACATACATACATATAGAAAAAGTAGCCCCTGCGATCCCTCAAAATACACAAGAGGAACTTCATTACCTTTTAGCTGAACACATCACATCTCTCCTTTTTTAGTTTATCTGTTTGGAACTATTTTCCCTTCTCTCTCTCTTTTTTTTTTTTTTTTTTTTTTGGAGACAGCTGTCTTTCTAAAAGTGGACACAAAAAGAACATCTTAAAATAACCACATTATCGTCACCACACCTTGAATGCAGTAACTGTATCATCCTCGTTATCCAATGAACCCCTCGGACTTTTCAGTGGTGTCAATACATGTAATACTTCAAAGAACAAGGTACAAATAAGACATGAAAGCACATTCTATTCAGCGTATATCAGACAAAATAGCAGTAATTTTCAAAAACTTTCTTACTGTAATTCTTTACTATTGTCTCTGTAGATACCATTTTGGGGATCTGCTTACATGGATAAAAAAACATGTTAAAAAAAATGAGATGATAAATTAAGATATTTCAACTACTACTCTCATTTTACATCATGGTACTGTGACATCTCTACACTACTCAAGCGCTTATTATACTTCCAAAATCTCCCAAACCCAGTCTTCACTAGCACGATATTCTCCCCTCTTATGTGTTTGAGAAACTATTAATTTTTGACGCATTCAACAAACTTGCTTATGGTTAGGTGAAACAGAAAGAGCAACTGATAAAGCAGCTGCACATGATATATGCTGCTGCATACTATTTTAACTGCAACTGGTTAAGAGTGGCTCTGGAAGAGTTATATATGAACCCTGAGGTAAAACTATAAGCAATTTTCTGTAAACTCACATCAGTTTCAACAATTTGGCAAATGATTCTGCAGATGTCAAATTTTCCATGGTACAACATCCTCAAAATAAATAAATAAAAAAGTTCTTAGGAGTAGGTGAGATGCTCAAATTGCCCTAAGCCTTTCAGACTGAAAACTTTATCTAGAAATTTAGTAAATTTAGTGAGAACCTACTTCAATGATTAAGAAAATAATAACATATTTGTCAATCAAAAGCTAAAATATGGCTCATTATGCATTTGCACAGTATTTCTGCATAAAACACAAAATTTAAGGCAATAATAAGTTACACTTGCACTAAGATCAGCTCAAGGAAAGATCATCTCCTCAGCATTCATCCCAGTAGTGAAGTGCAGAGGAATCTGCTATTCACCTGAGCTTGGTGGAAGCTGGAGGAAAAACTGCTATGCCTGGGAACCCTGAAATGCTCTTACAAGGAACCAGCGGGATCAGGAGACATTTGCTCATGAGGTCCTCTGGAGAAACACATGGCCTTATCAGGAACTGGACCTGCAGAGCCTGAACACTTGAAGGAGGAGAATTTTCCTAAGAAGTGAGGCTCTGCAAGAACATTTCTTTTACAAATCTCCCTGCTTTGGAAGTAGAATTCTAATACTGCTATTACTCCTGAGCCCTACAGTCATCATAATGTTATTTACTCAGTAACAGAGATAATAATTGCTTGATAGCATCTTTTGCTATGTCATTGCTCCTTTACTATTGTTCCAATATCATTAATAAGTACCTTTAAACACTGTCCGATTGGTATGCACTTTGTGATAATGTTCAGACTTCAAAGTTGACTTCAAAGAAGGGTCTCAAATTGCCACACAATGTGACAATGTCTTCTCCTAAGAAAAAGGAATGGAGAGAGCACTATGACAGAAAGATTATCTTCTGAGATCAAAACTAGTTAAAGGCAAGAATTTACACAGGATTTTGAACAGCACCATTTTATGCCATAGTGTTTAATATCATTTGATTTTTTAAATAGGCATTCTCAGAAGTTACTTGATYAGCTCTTGTTAGAAAACCAGAGGCAGCTCAATAGTCAAACTGTTTATCAAAGTTATGAAATACAAACCAGTCAGCACACACTTAGTATTTTTTCTCCCATTAACATAATTATTTCCTACTCAGTAAAAATGAAAATGACATGTTAGCATTTCAAAAACAGGAGAAAATGACCCTCTAGGCTTTATATGACTATCAAAACAAGCACTGGTACTTTATTTGCAAATTATCATGCATGAAATGATCAACTCAGCAAGTTTACCCGTCAACAAAGTGTGTGCTCTACCAGTTATAATCAATTTACATGTAAAGATACGTCTAATTATGAATTTAAATGAGTTCTTGTCATTTCATGTTGATCAGCTGCTTTATCACCACAGATATGGACAGTGACCATAGTTAATGTCGCAGAAACAGCACAGCGTGCATGAGTTTCATTAGACAATGGTAGACAAACATGAAGGAATTTGTTTTTACATAAAAAGGATAGTCTCCAACCACCAAACCATGTTTTTTTGTCCAGCCAGGTTAGAAAAGCACTTTCTAAGAGACCATTTCCTGGTATTTGCTCTATACGCCACAGCCATAATAAATATACATTACTTATCACAACAGTCTTCTCACCTCATAACCTACTGGATTTCTCATTCCAAGTACGGAAAGAATATTGAGGCCTCCATTGAATAAAAAGAACTTTCAGGTTTAGCCTTGCTGTACAGAAACGTACATTACTAGAACCTGCGAAACTAGCATTTTGGGGCTGAGGATAATTTTTGCTTTTACAATGTATCAGTCACATCCCTGCATTGAGAAATCTTGAAATGAATCAAAAATTTAAAATAATAACTGAAATAAAGCTCCTTCATAGCAGAGAGCAAATTATATTTTGCAAGAAGGTTAGACAAAACTGATTTTAACTTACAAGAATGTATAATTAAAAGCTAGCTTTGAAGATGTCTGAATGTTACAATTAAATCAATTTAATGGCAATGACTTCATCAAAAGGACACCATTATGTACTATTCTTAAAGTTAATTTCATTTTTCTTATAATGGTCTAAGACAGATAAATAAATTTTAACATTTTCCAAACAGTAATCCTTTTCATTTCCCTCAGCTTTATTAATAAGGTACATATTCAGCTGGAATATTCAAATATAATTTTTACTGATATACAGAACCATTTGTAATTTATATTTGGTACAATTCCTTTTTTGGTGTGTAGAAGTCACTTTTATTTTGATAAAATGATACAGCAGACTTACACTTAACATCACATCTAAGCTTTATCTATATAAAGAATTTACAGAGCTCTTTTGTTTGTGGAATGATAAATTTCATATATATGAAATTTTAAAATGCTGCATGAGCCTGTGACTTTGCCAGTACATAGAGCAAACTTTAGAAACTGCAATGACCATGAACTGATGCACAAACATTTATCAGGGCCCAGTACTAGTATGGACACATACAAAATGCTGCAATGCCAGTATGATTTGCTTTTACTTTGGTGGCTGTAATATTCCAGGTGCTGATGCAAAGTACTCCTAAGAGTACATTTATCCCCTTGCATTTTAAAGGCATCTGCTTCTTCTACTCTCCCTTGTAGCGAGGTGGTCTTTTCTCCTTAAAGGCAAGAAGACCTTCAATTCTATCTTTTGTTGGAATAGTCTGTAAAGAGCAGAGTAACATTTTGTTATTGACAGTAAAAATAATACCACAAAAATATTTTCCTACAAATACATACATATATATTTCCTACAAACCATACATATAGAAATGAAAATTGCAATGTATATTTAGATATTTGGAAATACCAGACCCTTTAAAGGCATAGCATAACCCTGAGAAACAGTTTAGGAGAAGAAGGCCTAGCTTTCCTCTGAGCAGATGACAATAAGAATAAGCCTAAGGCTTAGCACTTTGTCTATTTAGGTTTTTTTTTTTTAGGTTTTTAATTAGACTGCCATATGCTTTACTTAACTATCTCCAGTGGTAATGATTCTTTTCCCAAGATAAAAAATTTGTCTGCATGTCCATGAACATAAAAACTCCAAACACTTTATTTGAACATTTTGTTGGCAAAGAAGTTTGTCTTGATTTTCCCATAGTTAGCACACATGCCAGTAGTGGCATATATTACTGAAGCATCCTTCATATCATTTCACATCAAACCAACACAAAGAGATGGTAAAGCAGTTCTCGGGTTAGATGTATGACAATATATGGCTGGCTAGATAAAGGCATAACAATGTTTCATTACTTTTTCCTGTACATTCCTTGAAAAGGAGATGTTCTTACCCTAAACTATGCCATCTTCTTTAAATTTGAAATAAAAAAATAAAGTAAAAGGAATGACTAAATATAACATCAAAATATTTGAAGAAGAAATCAGGCTGCAATTTCAAGTCATATTTTTTCAAGTCATATTTATGCATATATTTCACAACGGGCTCCAACAAACCCCGTTTTGTGGTAGTTTCTGTGTTACATACCTGAGCATAACAAGCTTCTTCAATTGCTAAACCGGTTACTAAGTCCACCTGAGGAAAAAGAATAAAATACTTTTAAGAACACATTTTGATACTTCTAGTATACACTTCTTTTCCTCACAGCAAATGTAAATACTGTGCTATTTGTCAAATACTGAAATACTTTTAAAAATTCCTACCACCCAGAAATTTTTCACTGCCATGTGAGTGAGAGTGGTTAGTAATTTTATCAGTTTCCTTATTCCACAACATTGCCAAAGGAATACATGTTTTTCACATCACTCTCCATACTAAAAACCACGTTTTTCACTTCACTCTCCATACTAAAAACCATGCTAGCTGCATGTTTGCAATCATTTCAATTATGAAGTTCAATAAATAATACTCTAAAAAACGTTTCTGAGATAAACATCTTCAAAATCCTATATGATGCGAGAAAATAAACATAAATTCAAGTTTATATATATATATAGACTGGTTTTAATACAGGAGTTCCTGTCTTAGGGACTCAGCATTAAACTAGATGAGCATTCAGAGTCCTTTCAACCCTATCTTCCCTAGTCCAATCTGCAGCTCTGGCTCATTATGTCTGGTAGTCAATTTAGCATGAAGCTTTTTGAATCTTTGGTACCTCTAAAATAGATCTTGAATTCCATCATTGCTTGCTGTTTGAACTTAACGAACATATTCTTCTCACAACAGCATCTGAGTTTGGTCCTCAGGGCAAAAGTCACTGGTGCTGTGCTCTGCTGAACTCAATTATATCAATKGTTGCTTATGAGACTTAAAAGACAAACCTTAAATGGCACTTTTTGGGTTCAGCTTTTGCATGTGACATGATCCTCTTCMCTTGTCCCAGGTTGAACTATATGCTGTCCTGGTGCAAGAACTTATGCATATGCTTAACTTCAAATATGAATGGTCTGCTGATCTCAGCAAGATGATTCACAAGACTAAAGTAAAACACATGTCCAGATGTGTTCAGGGCTGGGTCTTAATGAGCTTTACAGCTAGGTCAAYAGTGTTCAAGGAGTGGCAATTCAACATCTGAAATTAGATTCCTGGTATAATTTTAACGCTAGCCTGTATTCACACCTTTTGGTCTTTAAATACTAGTTATGTAAACAACACTGATAGCCCTGACAGACTGCTGAGTATCACTGTGGATTGTTTTCTTCACAGTATTTGAAGTAAAACTTATTCATAGTGGTTCATATTTACTTTCTAATATTAACAGAATATTAATAGTGTTATACTAATATAATATTACTCTTATAATAACAGTATTAATATTAGTATTACAGTAGTATAATAATAGTATTTCTAGTATTAATTGACAGTATTAATTGGGGTTACTAAGCCTTGTTATGGAAATGTTCAAACAGCTCTACTCTTGGGAATCTGAAATCAATACACATAGATATAAAAAAACCTCATTTATCTTGAAAGATACATTTTGGCCAGGTAGATTTTTAAAGACTACAGAAGGAGAAAATGAGAGTTGGTGCAGGAAGAAATATCACTACTGAAAGCCTGTTGCCATCCTAACTTCTGCAAGGTACTACGAGAAGTATAGATCCTTACCTCCATTCCCTGATTGATAGCCAGTTTTGCAGCTCTCATGGCTACAGGTCCCTGAAATAAAACAAAAAGCTGATTTGCATGTCATCAGATTGTACAAGATTATGCTGTGAAGAGTCTGTACATCAATGTTGTTGTAGTGGGGCCTTCTGGACTTTGTTCTTTTATTAAATAGATAGCAAACAGGTCAAACATCCTAAATTATATGCTAGGTAACATATAATTGCTATAACTATGGTAGGTATTTTATTCTGAAGTCATGTTTACAACATTGAGAAAAGGTGAAAGAGACATATAGCTTTGGAAAGAGCTAAGTCACAGCTGTTTGCTTGGTGTATTTTTCAAAGATTCACTTCCACTTCACTTATGTCATGATTGCTCAATACCTTTCAAAACAASACCTATAGGATCTTGCACGGCTTCATATGATCAATCCTAGAATGTCCTAATTATCATATAATGAAAAGCAATGATGAGATGGGAAGAGGCAATGAACTTATACTGCTTAAAATCTAAAGAAGGCAGCTGCAAAGCCCACACTGAACAAGTTATGATTAACTCAATTGCTTGCAGAAGACAAGAAGAGTGCAGAGGTAACTGCAGCCTCCTCCTCTGATATGCTGTACAACAGTTTAGTCATATACTTGTCGTGGGCATCAACTTCTGAATATACACACACTGCTCTGAGGACGTGGCCTGCTGTTTTGGGAAAAGGCAAATGCATCCTATTTGCAGTCTCTTCAGTGGTGACACGGCACTTTACTTGCATGAGGTGCCCAGGCCTCAGAGCTTTCTGTATGTTTTGGAACTGTATGTTTCTGTGTGTTCTCCAAGTGTGAAGCTGTAACTCTAAATCAAATTACCAGAATACATTATAATTTTTTTATTTTACTTTTTATGTTCATCTTCCTGGAAGAGTTTTCATAAAACAAATAATCCATGCTAAATGTTGTGTTTCATCTGTAACATTATCCACTCCAAATCGAAAGTTTTTGTTGTTATACTTGTCACTCAAATAAAGTGGTTTCCTAATTATTTTCTTTAGCATTGCCTACTATGAATTTGCCACCTGGGAGTCTTCAGCTGAAAAGCAGGTTTATCAAGAGCTCAAAGCTCATTTTCCTACACTGAACAAAAAGTTGGCACTGTATGGCAGTAAAGCAACTTGTAGCATTTGGTTATTGCAAAGATTCCCAATAGGGTCATAGTTAAGTCTCTTATTAAAATTGTGAAGTTCTCAAGCACGAGATTTCAGCAAATCCCCTTTGCTTACGTATTCCTTGGGTGGATGATGACAAATCTGTGTTATATTACAGGTCAGAGAAGAAAATACGGAAGAATATGGGAGGGGAAAGATCCATGTACACCCAGCCCCTGTGTGAGGGTGCACATAGAGGGGCCAGCTCTGTTCCTGCCACCAAGGTCTCCAGCTCAGCGCCACGAAGGGCCGGSCATTAATCCCCCTGCTCAAAGGGAACCAATTACAACAGTTCACAATGAAGCAAGCAAGAAGGAAAAGACAGTTGCTAAATGCTGAACATTGGCACATGACTGTCCGAAAAATGTGGCATTTCAACTCGTAGTCAAAGGTGGAGATAGCATGTCATTTGGGAAGCAAAAGCATACTTCTTTCATCAGGCTTGTACACACGGGCAAAAAGRAAAACAGATGGCCCTCCTGTACTAAATGGGCCTGGCTTTAATTCTGAAATTACATTTGGCTTTATGTTCTCAAAATCATAGTTACACTGAGATACATCCACCTTCATACAGGCTTGCCTCTCTTCTAAAGCAATCAGCTGCAACAGAATAACCTGTTGAGATAACTGCTTCACTAAAAAATAATAATAAAAAAACCCACTAATTTTAATGTCTGAAACTTGTAATCCATAATATGCAATGCAAACACAGGCTATATTGCAGCAATACAAGGAGTGCTACAGTTTGTGTGCTTCACCATGAAATACTTACGAAACAGCAGCACTGTATATMTGAGTGAGAACACTTCTCATAGCTCTCACCTTAAATGTAACTTAGCAAAACGCAGCATGTGAGTTTTTTTCCTTTTATAGTCAGTTATTTCTCCATCTCAACGTTTGGTCACAACTCAAAACTCAAAGCAAAATGATTTGTCATACCTGAGGTAAAAATTCTCTTGCTAGAGCTAAGGCTCTCCTGTAGGCAGCATCCCCAGCATCATTCTGTTCTACCACATGGCTGATCAGCCCTATGGATTTTGCTTCCTCGCCGTCTAAAATGCGTGCAGAGAAGATTAGCTCCTTGGCCAAAGATACACCAATTGTGCGAGGCAATCGCTGAGTGCCCCCTGCATAATTTCATTAAAAAGAGAAAGGGAAATGCAAGGATTAGTACTACATCTAGGAAAGAAGATATCTCATTCAGTTCAAGTATTTCAATTTTTTATTATGCAGTTACATGAAGACACAGACATTACTCAATAATAAACGTTCTCAAATGGCTTCTTCAGCTCCGAAACCTTATTTAAAACAAAATCAAATTTTCTGTGTCTCAGAAAGATATATGAATAATTTAAAAAGAGTCGATATTAAGAAGGAATAATTTTGATTACAGATAGGCTACCATACTCAAAGCAGCCTAAGGCTGAACGAAAACTACTTGCCATAAAGTGATTATATCCAAATATTCTTCTTTTAAAAGGGCGTGTATTTTCAAGATATTAATTGCCACACTACGAACACTTTCAAACCGCGCTCTAAGAAACATATTCTCTCCAGACATGTTTTCTCTATACATAGTCTATGCTCTATAAACGAGAAAGCGGCAGCCAAAGGTAAAATTTGCATCTATTAGGGACAGAAAAAGTATTTCTCCCTAAAAGAACTAAAAATCTTTTGTAGAAAAAGAAAAATTTTTTGTAGAAAAAGTTCAAGTAAAAAGGTAAAGTTTGATTACAAAAATCAGGAAAAGATGATGACTAGTTTGTATCAACAGGGAAATGTGGCTACCATTATTTAGATATTCTTACTATACTAAAAAAAATCTTTGACATATCATTTTGAGAAGATCTGTATATACATTAGATAGTTTTGCTTAGTTATACTGACAAATGACTAATTTTACAGAACTACCAATGACAGCGAAAAATAATAATTAATGAAACTGAAAAGCTAGACTCAAGCCTTCAAAGCAGATACTGTTATGAACTAAATTAATGGAAATGACCTTTTTTCCAGGAGATCTAAACTATAGCAAGTCTACTTCTTTGTAATGATCTGAAATAATTATTCATTGTATTTAAACAGTCTATAGATTTTTTTTTTCCAAATAGAGCTACCTGTGAAAGGACATGTTAACAAATTAATTATTAATCTATGTGTATATGTGATAGGAATAAATACAGAAGATATCCAAGGGGATTTGGTAAATATGTTTTGAGTTAATAAAAGAACAGATTAATTTCAACCCCAAAATGGCAGACTAAAACAGTGTTTTGATGAAGATATTCAGCTCCTTCACTGATGTATTCTTAAAATATGTAAACACATCTCAGACAAAATAAACTGACTGAAAACAAATAAAAAGTTTTATGATTCATCTTTCAATTATTATTTATGATAAACTACAAGCTTCAGTACTACTGTATTCCTCTTCATAAAACAGTCCTGCTCTGAACATCATATAAAGATGCAAGTTTGGGGGTGGTTTCACAAAATTATGGTTTCTACCAAAAGATGAGATATATTTTCTAGCAAAACTCAAAAAAAAAATTACACTCATAATCATTTAAATAAATTTTGTAGGACAGTACCATTATTATTAGCATTAGTAAGTATAAACAATGAGGTTCTAAGTCATCCTCTCACTACACAAAAATTTCAGCAAGGTTGTCCTGATGATATGGTACAAGTCACCACAACAAGAAGCGCTGTTTGATAGTTCTCCAAATTTAGCTTAAAAAATCCTCCCAAACACAAGCCTTTAAAAAATACTACCAACCCTAAAGCCTATACCTTCCTCTAAGTCTTGGCTGTCTCACTGGTAGCATTCACAGACCAAGAATGAATTTGGCTCAAGTGACAAGCCCCCAAACCACAGCTATCTACCATAAAAAACAAGGGTGCTGTGTATTCAAACACAGTATACTGAGTTGCACCACCATCACCTAAGAGAAACATTTATTAGCTTTATCTTTTTTCTTTTTCTTTTTTTTTCTTTTTTAATACTGGATATCTTTCCATTTCTCTCCCAAAGAAGCTGTCATATCCTAATCAACATCTATCCTTGTTTCTGTTTTGAGTGTGCATCACAACATAACAGATGTCTATTCTGATCTCTTTAAGAATAGTTTTTTTCATCAATTATCCCTTTCACCATATTAATGAAATCTAGATAAGCATTAGATTTATGTTTTGATCAAAGAAAGCTGTTTTTTCAAATCGTAAGACCAAGAGGCTGCATCTACTGATTTCATATCATCTGCTCCTTCTTTGTTAGACTTAGTAGTTTTTTTTCTACAGAGCTATCTCCCTTTCCTTTATTGCTTTCTCTCTTCTATTACTGCTTTTACCAGGAAATGTTGAAAACAAAATTTAATTGAGCAACAATATTTCATAACTTTGACCAAACAATGGATATGTTTAAGCATGAAATAGTGTTTATAGATGAAAAAAGTTTTCTTGCCAGTGTCTTACACAATAATGATTAAAGAGCAAAAAAGCAGACTATAGTCTATGTTGTTTGGCTGCCTCCCACACTGCAAAGCCATTAAGCAGAGGAGCATGTTGTTTGATTAATATTCACAGAATAGAAGCCAAGAGTTCACTACATCAATCACATATATTCAGTAGTCAGAATAATCCATATAYACATGCAAAGGCAGCAAGACTCAATTAATCAAATGCAAACAACACTGCAAAATATACACAACTACGTACACTTAASAGGAAAACAGAGAGTACGTTGCAGATAGATGTTCTGTTTTCGTAATGCACAAAGAACATATAGTTCCTGCCAGCTACAATCATAGCTAAAGGAAGTAACACCCAGTCTTCAAAAGCATTACTTAAGCAGGACATTTCATCTAAATGTAGAGCAGAATTTGACGGAAGAAAAGTTGTTTCATCTTCACAAATTTAATGACATGTTATTTCAAGGACTAGTGATCTGGTATTACTCACTGTGTTGATAAAAGTATTTGACACACAGTTGCAATGTAAATGCACTCTTATCTGAGATAGTATATATTCAATGTTGTAATAATGTAAACAGCTTTTTTTAGACAACACTCCAGTCCMTGTGAAAAGACACAGTCCATGCAAGACTGCTAACTACAGATATGAAAATTGTTAACCAATATTTTTGCTCAACAGTTGGTTCTGCATGAACATTTATTTAGTGTCAGTAATTCATCAGTTACAAAATATGTACACAAATGGTTTGGATTAAGGCAATTACGTGAACAATTCCCAAGAGTATATCCAACAAGATGAAGCAACTAGCTTACTGGAAATAGATTCATCATTCTGGCAGTGAATATCTACACTCAGTAGTTTCTCATAGCTCAAGGCTCTGTCAAAACATATTCGGAAAAATCCTGTTCTGACCAAAAATCCAAACTAGAATTCTGGCTTACTCTAAGTGTTTAAGATCAGTAAAAATAATTCATTTTATCCTCTCTATCACAAGTTTTGTTTGGTTTACATTAGATTGAGTTAACTGACAGATAACTATATTTCTCTTTTGAAAGGCTACTGTACATTTCTAATACATTATAGGTGAAGCCTATAGGCTATTGGTGAAGTTGTCAGACCCGAAGTTTCTAATTATTCAAGTCAGAGAGTCACTTTCAGTCCTTTCATGGAAATCTCAAAGAACCAGCAGATTTTCCTCCTTTCCATTGAGACATTCAGAGCAGTATGTGATGCAGAAACCTGCTGTTAATAGCCTGCAGGACTCACCAGTAAGCATAGGAGCTCATAAATATACTAAGACAGGTAAAACAGCACTTTTACATCCTTGTTTTCAGCCATATAACTCATTTTAAAAAATGTGCAACAAATACTTTTTATTTTTATTTTTTTTTTATTATTTTTATTAGCCACCATCCATTGCTGAATTCAGCAATTTCCAAAATGCTACACTTTCTGAGAGCTATTTTGATAACATTTAACATCAGCTTTCCAGCTGAGCTTTTACCAGATTAGGCCTTTATCCTACAGAGTTGTATATATTGTAGCAAACTTAATTCCAGGTATAAATCCTTATGGGATCAGCCACCCCAAATTCTTTCATAGCAGAAAACACACAGGGCCTTCCATTAGTCCCAAGGCTAATCACTGAAAACAGCTTAGTCTGGAGAGACATCCCAGAGAGGCAAGCAAGAGGGGAAAACACAGCAGGAAGAAAAGGAGCAACATGACCTCCCAACGAGGAGAAAGATCCGAGGCAATGAGAGAAGCCAGGAGGCTAAAACGCCCTCGGGTCTGGCCACAGCAGTAGTTTTCTGGGGGAAAAGCGTGGAGCCCCTCAACTCACTACCAAGTATGTCTGTGATTGATTTCAAAGCTCTGTTTGGCTTGAAAACTGCCAATTGAGTTTGCACATCTTTTTTTTCCAAATCGTTTTTATTCATATTCATGTAGTAAGCACATACGTAGATTGCTCTATTTAAAAACATTTCTGAAAAACGTCTAGAATCTATCAGAGCTCCACGTGTGGGTGGCTTGAAGGCAGCAGCTTGTATCAGTAGACTGCAGTGCTTGGCTCAGGGATGCAGGAGCACTTACGTTTCATGAGGCAATGTGTAAATACACTTTCCAAATTCACGAGTAGTTAAGTAACCACAGCTTTGCAACAGAAAGATGAAATGGTTGGGGTAATTTAGAAAAACTGACTTACTTTCAAAAGAGATAATCCTCTTGCAAATTGAAAAAGACTAAAAGTGTGTTCTCTGCAGACAGCTGCCTCCATGAAATGAATGAAACAAACAAACAAGCAAAAAAAAAAGCCCAAGCCTTGTATTTAAATAAAAAAATCAACTTTAAGAAGTTTTACATATGAGGTACCTCACATTTCCTTTGCAATTATTGCACAAGCAACTGTACAGTTAGACCTACAGCACTGCACAGTCTCCAATATTAGACCAAACAGTGCTTGACAAGCACAGATATGCATTTCAACACACCTCCTTCCAGGACCTAAGGTACTAGCCAAGCACACACTGACAATCTGCTGTCTTGTATTGATTTTTTTTTGAGAAAGAGAAAGCCATAAAGCCACCATTTTACTTAAACATACACAAGCACAGTAAACATGGGCACATGTGGATATTCAGCAACGCTGAGC